TGGAACAAAACTTAATAAGGAAAATAATAAGTTTTTTCGAAGAAAGTGAAAAATGATTAAGAAAGAAACTTGTAATGAGTTAAAAAATTGAAGGATAGATAAAAAGAAAGAAGGATTAAAAATGTTTCAAAAAATTGTTTGTAAAAGAGAATACGAAGAAGAAAAATAATGAGAATGAGAAAAAGAAACATTTGAAGAGTTGACTTTTTTATGTCATTCTTTGTATAAGTATAGTATAATAAATAACGAGTATGTGTTTATTATGCAAAACTATTTAAAAAGGAATGGAGACGAAAAATTTCAAAAAATATAAACGTTTGAGAAATAAAAAGAATACGGGAAATAACAAAGGAAGATAAGGAAGAAAATTATGTGATAATTTAAAAAAATCATTGAGACAAAGTTTAGTAAATTACAGGATAAAATGGAAAAATAATAAATAATTAAAAAGACAATACAGGATGCGCCAGAACTTGCTCCCCAGAGAAATTTTTTAAGTAAGGTAAGATACCAGGAACATGAAAAAAATGTTTAAAAAATTCTATCTATCTATCTGACATTTGACATTTTTTTATATCTATTTAAGGACATTGATGATCTTGTATATGTTTTTTTACAATTATTTAGTAAAGGGACAAAAATTTTGCCAATAAAAGCCACAAATAACAAGCCTATAGCAAAAAAACTTGGAAAATAATTTTTCCAACAGAAATAAATAGAATCAAAGTGCAAACTTTAAACCCTCATAATTTTTAAATTTTTATAGATAATTTTTTTTAACATATTTTCCATGTTCCTGGTATACCTTATATGGCATTTTTCTCTGGGGCTCGAGTTCTGGCGCACCGTGTACATTTGGAGAAAAAAATATTGAGAATGAAAAGAAATAAAAAAAAATGTTAGAAATGGACCAGAATCTAAGTGTTGCTTAATGTTAATTATTGAATTAATTATCCAAAACTGTATAAAGAAAAACAAAAAAAGACTAACAAGAAATATAAAAAATAAAAAAAACTGAAAATGAGATATATTGGAAATGAGACAAATAGAGAGTAAATAATTAAAAAAGATCTGAAAGGAATATGAGGAAGAGAAATTATGTAATAATTTAGAACAACCATTGACACAAAAGTTTAAAAATAGAAAAGAAAATTGTAAAAAGAGAGAAAATGTTTAAGAATCGGTTCAGCATCCAAGGAGTTGATTTTTTTATATCACTCAGTATATAATAAATTATAAAGAAAAAATTAAGAAAAAATAACGAAAATTTTGCTCTAAATGTTTTTATTATTTTTTCGCAGTCTTAACGCAAAAATTGTCCATTCACTTGCCAATCCCCAGCGCCTAATCCGGGCTTACTTCCGGCTTGTAAACACGATTAAAACTCCGGAAAGTGAGAAATTCCAATAGGTTTCTGTCGTCACAGTTCCGGAGCTGCGACCACCTAATTTATTATGTTTGACGGAAATATTAAGTCGAGATCCCTCGATGCTTATTGGACCGTCTTGAACCCCGGATAAAGCACTCCGGGAGTCCGGGCTTACTGCTTGTCTCAGTGTGTATAAACGGGAAGATGGATGGTGTTTTAACACGACACTTCCGTTCACACATCGTGATATTTTAAACCGGTCCCGGAAATACCGGAATTAGATCAGCACTGTCGGGGTTAATTCAGTTTCAATGAATCGAATTCGCCCAAGCTCTTAAATATTTATTGAAGAAGAATGAGCGGCCGAAAGCGAAAAGTTCGATCCGGATTTTTTATCACCTTTATTCTATTGCCTAGGGCACAACTCGAAAAATATTTATCTAAACTAAACTGACAATTGGGAGTTTATCGCCAAGGGCGCTTTCAATTTCTCCTCGCAAGAGCCATTTTTTTCCCGGTGAAACCCATTGTCGGCGAATTAACCACCGAAATTGCGTATAATTGCGTTTCCATACGGCTGTGATCATCATAACACAAATCATGAATAATCATAGTTTAGAGGCCGCCCTATATTCCGCCCCTTTTAGCACAATCAATCAATAGCGCCCCATTAACGCCTTAATAGACCCCGATGGATTGCTTTAACACAACCCACCTGGAATTCCCAAAGGAAATGATATTTTGCACGGTTTATGAACTGTCATTCCGCTCCGGTAATGACGGTAACGGTTGTTAACTCTGAGTTAATGACGCTCGCATCGTATCGATTCCGGGCCCCCATTGCACGCCACTGATCTACAATCATTGAAAATCATTACATTGCAAAACAACGACGGGATTATGAGGTGCTAAATGGGATTTGTCACGTGGCCAGCAACTGGTGGTCCGAAAACCAATGAATTTTTACTACGATCTAAATTAAGAAAAAAAATACCGAAAATGCAGTTTTTGCGGCTGTCAGACAAGGCAAAGCCGAGTCTGGGATAGCAGATGAGTTCAAAAACTTTTTACGCAAGTGTTACAAACATTTTTTTTTCTGTTAGAGCTTCCATAACACATTAATGATTAAAGATAATAAATAGTACTTAAAATAATTACTTTCCTAGCACTAGTAATGGTTTTGGCTGTTTTGCTTGTACTAGTACCTAAAATGACTATTTTACGAACTATTTTATTGAGTTCAAAAAATTCAGTTTAGGGTCCGTAAAACAGCTATTTTTAGAAACGCATAAAATAGTACATTATGTTATTAGGAGTAAAAGTGATACTCTATGTGATGAAATTAAACATTCATCTGGGCCATAACAAATTACTTTTACTCCAAATAACATACGTTATTTTATTTTATCCGCAAACGTATTCAGATCGGGAGTAACACTATAATTAGCAAGTAAATGAACAAAATAATCTGAACGTTTTACAAGTAATAAAATCATAACAACGCTTATTAACAAATATCACGCGTCATTATCAAAATTTGGGTTGAGATTTTCGAAAGTGATTAGTGCAGTTAGTAGTGCAAAATTTTGAATGCTGATGATCTATAATGAAACTGCTGAAACAATTGAAAAAACAACATTGGTAAATGTCAATAATGTCCTATTAAAAGTAAAAACGCTTAAGCGCAAAAACAGGATTATTACTCGATAATTGAAAAGTGAAACTTTTACTTCTGACATTTAGTCACAAAAGTAGTCACTTTGGCGATGTTTGTGAATAAAAGTATTTTTATAAGAATATTGGGAGTTAAATTCTTAGATGGGACACCCTGTAATTGCATTTTTTTTTACGTTTACATTTTTCAATTTTCAACTAATTATAAATGTTATTATATTTTTACTTTATTTTAAAATTCTTTATAATATTGTAACACAAAATTTTAAAATAGTACATTATTCAACGATTGAGAAAGTTAGCCATTTCTACGAAGATGAGATTTACGATACGAGACAAAGCTGACTGGAGTAATTCATCTGAGTGAAAATGGCCATTTCTCACGAATTTAATACTATGTTTTTTCTAATCTTAAATAATGAGTGTAATATTTCATTTTATATTTTCTTTTTATTGTGAACATTCACGTTAACTAATTTTTTTATTTTCTCTAAAGTTAAAGAATGCATAACTTTCTTAACTGAAAACGTAAGAGAAAAGTTCCCTTTTGTGACGTTTGTAAATAATAGTATTTTTATAAGAATTATAATTTAGATACCTACCCAAAATGAAAAGAGATATTGGGAGTTAAATTCTTAGATGGGACACCCTGTAATTCCATTTATTTTATTTTTACGTTTACGTTTTTCAATTACCTTTTAACTAATTATGAACGTTCTTATATTTTTACTTTATTTTAAAATAGTACATTATTCAACGAGTGAGAAAGTTGGCCATTTACACAAAGATGAAATTTACGATACAAGCCAAAGTCGAGTGGAGTAATTCATCTGAGTGAAAATGGCCATTTCTCACAAATTTAATACTATATTTTTTCTAATCTTAAATAGTGACTATAATATTTCATTTTATATTTTCTTTTTATTGTTAACATACAACCAACTTTTTGTCAATTTTTTCCACAGTTAAAGACATTTGTGACATTTAGTCATAAAAGTAGTCACTTATTTTTAGTAGTAGTAGTAATAGTATTTTTATAAGAATTATAATTTAGATACCTACCCAAAATAAACAAAGATATTGAGAATTATTTTTTTACGTTTTTCAATTACCTTTCAACTAATTATGAATGTTTTTTATTTTTTTTTATTTTAAAATTGTTTGTAATATTCTAAGACAAGATTTTAAAATAGTACATTACTCAACGAGTGAGAAAGTTGTCCATTTCCACAAAGATGAAATTTGTGATACCAGCCAAAGCTGAGTGGAGTAATTCATCTGAAAAGGGCTATTTCTCACGAGTTTAATCCTATATTTTTTATAATGACTGTAATAATTCATTTTATATTTTCTTTTTATTGTGACCATACACATTAACCAATTTTTTTTCAATTTTCTCCACAGTTAAGGACTGCATTACTTTCTCAATTAAAAATGTAAGAGAACAGTAAAATTCCTTAATATGATTAAAAAATTTTTTTTTGCTCTTCTAGATTATCTTTATACGCTGATTTGTATTTGATATTTTATTTTTTATGTAATCCTGTGATATATTTTAATCCATCATTAAAAAATATGTTTGACTAACGAGAAAAATGTTTACATTGTGCTCAGTTTAATTAAAAAAAGTTGGGAAACGCTCCAACAGATGTATTGTTTCATTTTTCATTTGGCTTTTTTCTGATTAAAAACCGGATGTTTTGTGAGCATCTAACCGAAAGCCATTGCTGTTCCGCATGAGTGGTTTAGTTAAATCTTGTTTTATATGATGTCTGCATCGTTTCAATGGTTTTAAAATGTCACTGCGTCGTGAATGTGAGACAATTAAAAGCGCGTAATTCGGGCAAAAGCTCATAAGGGCAGTTAAGCCACCCTTACAAAGCTGCGGTATTTCGTTTCACACCCTTGAGAGTGCTAACGTAGGGTGTTTACTCAGTGAAAGACTGTCTTAATTCAACTAGTTTTATTAAAAAAATTTAGTTTCGGTGGGGTAGTGTTGAATTCTCACTTCTTGGCCTCACCATCATTCTGGCTTGCTTCAAACTGTAGGAAACTCCTCGAAATGAGTTCCAGTACATCACACGACCTGCCATTTCATCCAATGTTGAATCTTTTGTTTTCAAATATTTTCCAGTCAGCTGACATGCCATGCAATTATTGTACCACCAAGCCCCGTCTAGAAAAAACTCCCAAGAGTGTTATACACAATTTTTTATTTATCACAGGGCAACTTGACAAATGATATATCATTTTGTTCGTCTCAATGAGACAGATCAAATGCACTAAAAAAAAATTAAAAAGTCCACACACTAAATTTTTTTTTTTCTAATTTAAATGAATTTGAAATAATTTAACTTCAAAAAATCATTACTCAATTACTCAATACTCAAATAATCGAAAGAAAAACCCTACGAGTATTTTTTTTCATCATCACCATCGTGTAGAGCATCTTTATTAGTTGAAATCTAAATTTTTAAAAAAATATTCCGAGTAGTTTTCAAGATATGATTTTTTTTTAAATTAAGGTTTGCTAATCATACAATGCGCCCCATATAGGAGAAATGCATGTTAATCTTACTAAAAATTGCACTGTTATAAAAGTATTTGTTTTAAAACTCTTTTTTGCCTAAAAATGGTCAGTTGCACTTTTTTTATTCTAATTAGAATAAACAAAAATTGTTTGTTTACTTAAAACAAACAAGGAGTACTTGCGTACTAATTAAAGCAAATAAAGAGTTTTTTTGTTCTAAAAATGATCACTGAGCAAAAAGGATCTAGAAGCTTAAGGCACGACTCTTAAACAGATACACTACTCCAAAAAATTAAAGGTACAAAAAATTTTCCTACATTTTTTGGTGATTTTTGAAACGCTGTAACTCATCGAAAAATCGTCATGTCTGTATTTACAAAAAATCGTGAAGCTTTAAGTATCTAGTTTTGAGATCATTTGGCAAATATTTTTTTCTGTGCTACGGTTATCACGCAATTCTAAGTAACAGCGCGAGAAAAAAAATTCTAAATTTTTATGTATTTGTTTTTGGTCCACTGTTTTTGGACGTGAGAATTTTTTTTAGTTAAGTCAATGCATCGGCCGGATAGCATGTTTGTTCACCTTTAATATGCTTGTTTCATATTCTCTTTACGTTAATTTTTCGCTGAGATATCTGACTTTAAATGAAAAAGGATCCTCTTGTCTTTGATCATCAATATCTCAGCAACCACACAAAGAATATAAGGGAAGTGTCAAAAACTGGAATAAATGCCTTATATAAGATCTTCGATTGATTTTTTTGTACATATTTTTTTTACCTTTAATATTGGTTAAAAAAAAGAAAAAGAAATAAGTTTTTCCGTTTTCATGGACCGATTGATCAAAGTTTTGCAAAAAAATAAAAGGAACAATTGTACATATTGTTTCTGAACATCGTTTAATCTTCGTCAAGATGAGAAAAACAATTATTTTCAGCTTTCTTTTACAATTTTGTATTAG